AAAAAAAAAATCCCCAAAATATTTTTTGAACAAGTGGTTTATGATGACAGCTTTTGTATTTCCTTCAGATACTGTATATTAAAATAAAACATTTCAAAGTCCACCTTTATCGCAATCCAAACCAGTGACCCTTGACACTTCAGAAAATGAATCAAGAATGGTTTTGTTTTTTTCAGGGGAAAACGCACAGATATTACGTTCAATGGCAGAGAGAGCAGGGTCTGGTCTTTTCTATGTTTTTCTTGTGTTCTGAAAGATGTATTGTACAACTACAGAATTTACAGAAGTCCTTTGAAGTAAGATAGATTATATAATATACCAAATTGCAGATTTACAAACCAGAGCCCTGATTGTGATGATGTTTAATTACACGCTTAACTCAATACAAATGAACAATTAATCTTGGATTTTAAAGCATAGAAACATCTGCAAGACTGGGGTTTATATCTCCTAAACATATTAAATAAGCTGTCATCATAATAACTATTTAAAAAAAAAAACAAACCAAAAAACTAAACCAAAACAATGCGGTATTTTTTGCCACAAAATCGCTGTAGTTAGAGCATCAGTGGCCAAACATGAATCACTATGGAATATAATTTTAATTCAACTAAATATTTTTAAACATATATTTAAATACCTGTTTAAACAGATATTTGAACTCTAATACATTTAGATGGATGCTGCTTTAGGTTTATTTAAATATTTTACTGAAAGTTTAAAAAGAAAGTTTCAACTATAATACATAAAAATGTAACCAACAGTACACCCAATTAAAATCAAAAAAGCACAGAAACTCAAATTTAAGGTCAAAATTCTAGAACAACTCACTGCTATTTGTTTGTATTATAAATCTTCACATAGGAATGTGAAATTCACCTATAAACTTAATCAATAAGCTATTTAAAAAGAAAAGAAGAAAAAAAAACCCAAACCAAACCCTAAGCCTGTATTTCTTTTGGAATTCGAGATTTCACTTTAGCCACCACCATTTGAACAGTGCCCTAGAGGGACATATTGCCTTACCAGCATGGTCCATTATTGCTTGATGAGCGCCCACAGTGACTTTTTGTCCAAAATAACTGTTTTGGACATGGTTTCAGGAAATAAAGTCAATATAAAAACATGTACAATTACATTTCATTTCAAAAAAGCACTGAATTGATCTGAATTGTATCATACTGTATTAATTTTAATGCCACTCAATAGGCAAGTATATATTATGTGTTAAAGGAGGTGTGCATATACACAAAGACAAAATACATACACAGAATTCAGCCCAGATTGATCTTCATTTAATTTCTAGCATAACAACCGAGTCATTTTTTGCACTTTAGAATTATGTGGAAAAATTAGAATAGGCACAATTAATTAATACAGCTTCTAATTTACCTTTTTATAGTGCACTATTACGCACTAATAATACCATAAAAACAATATGATACTATTCAAGCTCATTCTTCTGATGTACGGATGAAGTCCAGTAAATAGGATTCTAAATTTTAACTCAAATGCACAACTTCTGCAGCTTTACACAGTAGAACAGTGCAATACGTTATGTCCCCATATTCCAGGAATAAGAGCTGAGTTTACAGTTGTACTTGTTTCACATTAGACTGGCTTTGCACTTTCTGCAGCTCTAGCTCTTCAAGTGCTTCATCTATGACGTCCTTTTGTTCTCTTTCCTTTTCCTTAATCTTCTTCCAGGTGCTGGCTATTAAAAAAAAAAAGTTCTTTTGGTAGCTAGCTCTCACCTGGTAGACAGTTTCGAAGTAACGGTACAGCAGAAGTTCTTCTAGAGGTTTGGTTCACAGTGCTAGGGTGACCCCGATCTCCACTTACTTCCCAGTTCCTGACTTTGGAAGAAGCTCGTTTTGGCTTCTTGGGAAAAGATTCCGATGTGACTTTCTGCCTCTTTTCAGGAATCCCTGTGACAACTGTTGAGTTCAGAAAGGTCCTTTTTGGTTTCTTCCTCACCTTTAATTTTTTAGCATCAGGCTTTTCCTTCTTAAGGTGCTTTCCCACTGTAGTTTTCCTTGTCTGGCACCTATGGATGGAAAAAGCAGAAGATTTCTGGGCACGAGGGCGGAGTTTCCTTCTCATCCCCTCTTTTTGCTGTTTTTTAGCTCTGGAAGTTTGTTTGCCTGTGTTTCCTCTCCTCCCACCAGTACATCTGACAGACACAGGTCCTGCAGCCTTTCTGGAAAAAACTGGTTCTTTATTAGTGTCTTCTTTTCTCTTCCATACTGCCTTTGGATTTTCCCTCTCTAACTGCTCACTCCTGATGGAAGTCAGAGGAGTTTTGGTAACTCTACTGTTAAATGGAGTTAATCTAACATCTCCTTCTACCACAGACTGATGAGAGTTCAAAGGTGAAATGATCAGGTGCTTAAAAGAGTTCTCAGAGTGACCAGATACCAGATAATCTGTTCTTTCTTTGGAAACAGAAGATCCATCTGCCTTTTGACTTGAGGCTGTATCATTCCCTTTACCTGGATCTGGCAGGAAAGATGCTGAAGATGAACTATAGAAGTCTGACCAATTGAGTGACTTTGACGGCGTACTTTCTCTCTGTGCATCAGCTAGTTTCCTCATGTTTGCATCAAAGCTGAGACTTCTGAAAAGCTGTCGAATGTGGGAGGGCTTTTTGGCCTTTTCTCCAACTGTAGTCTTCGGAGGCGTTTTCAGAATTCGATTTGTCAGTGGGTCATAATACTTAAAAGAACACTGTTTGTATTTATACCTTACAGAGTCCTTGCTATCTGTGGAGTTACGATTTTTCCTCATTTTGGGAGTATCTATAGGTTTACCTTTACACTGTTTTATCTCTGGGCACGAAAGTACATACACCACTGTCTTGGGCTGTACAGGACTCATAATCTTGCTATAGGACTCAGGAAGTTTAAGGGCACATAGTCTAGTTTTCATGTGTGGAGTTTTTTCATTCTCCGGCCACACAATGCTTGCTTTCTGATCAGTTGGATCAGATTCCCGTCTAGACATTTTTCTTTTTGCTACAGGGTAGTTCAATAGGCTTGTTTGGGTGCCATGGCTCACTTTAACCACCTGGCATCTTGAAGCCAGGCGCCATGTCCTTTTCCTAGGCATTTTAAGAATTTGTGGGTTGCATAGCGTATCTGAGGCTAAAGATGGGTTACGAAAATCAGAGCCACCACTTAAAGCATCATTAAATTCTGGCAATGCTTTAACTGATGCACTTTCTGTTCTATTACCCTCAACAATATTGTCCTTTTTTTCATCCTTCTGCTTTTTTTTCTTCATTCTCTTCCCTGTACAGTTGGCTGAGGATTCACTGTCAAAGTAGCAGCGAAAACGACCTTCCCTGAAATCACGCACGAGTTCTTCAATTTTTATATCATCTTCATACATTATTTGAGACCAAGTCTTTCCCACAAAAGAAGGAGGCACATGAGGCAGAGCTGGAAGAACTGGTTCTTCAGTATGAACTATGACATCCTGTTTCACTGTTTCTATTTTCTCTACTGACTCACTTTTTAAAACAGAAGAGAGCTGTGTTCCATAGTCTTTATCTTGCAAACTTATTTGGACCTCTTTTAGAAATTCTATATCTTCTATAGCTGCCTTGGGTAAGTCTGTTCCTGCCTGAATAGGTGCATCACAGTCAAAACTCATTTCAGAACCCTCTAAATGAGTATGGTCCAGAAGTGATGAAAAAGTTAAACAGGGATTATTCTCTTCTTTGAAATAAATTTCTTCAGATGTAGTTCCATGGCAGTATTTCAAAATAACATCTTCAATAGTTTCATCCACTGAACTTTCATCACCTCTGTTCGTCTTCACGTTTTTGCATCTTGCTAGTTGTGGGGATGTCCCAAGATCTAGGGAGCTGCTGATACCCACAGTATCCCTGAGATGGAAATCAGACACCAAAGTTTCATCCTGAGTTTGTAAACCATCTCGTTTTGAGAGAGATTGACCTGAGGTAATACATAAAGAATTGCTGTGGCTGCACATAGGATTCTGATGAGAAAGTGAAGGGCATTTTGGGTGAACCAGTGCCGGAGCAGGATTCAAGCATGGGTTCAATAACACATCACTATTGCATACCTCCATTCCTGTTTTATCACATCCACCATGCGGAATCAGATTTGATGCTGCCAAATTCCTAACATTTTTTCCTGTTTTAGGATTAACAGAAGAACTATGGATTGAAGGACTGACAGAAAAACGCTGAGGTACAGGGCTCACAGCTGTAAACTGGCCTTCATGGCTATGGTTTGCAATTTGAGCATCTTTGAAGGTATCCCGTTTCTCATTGCTACAAATGCCCATAGACTGCTGGGATATTCTTATAACATGTTCCTGCCCTCTTTCTAGTTTTTGAATAAATGCTTGTGTTACAGAAGTTTTCTTTGTGCCCTCATGAGACAGGCATGGAGCAGAAGAGCATATTTCACCAACAGACTCCTGGTCTTTGCCAGAAATCTCCTGGCTGTCTCTGTTCCTCTTTTTCTGCATCTCTTCTGGGGACAGGCAAGCAATCCTAGCAGCCTCTGGAGTGACGGGGAGTGGCATGTCATCATAGGTTGGTCTAAAGGGGAGGGAAAAAAACACCTTATATAAATACTGTAAATTTGCTTAAGATTTTTCAAACAATAGTGTTTTTTAAAAAAAAAAAAAAAAAAAAAAGAAATTCTTTAGAGTGCATCACACCTTATGAACAAACTCAAGTTACCAGCTCTGCTATTTTAGCAGAGATATTCCATTTTAAAAAAGGGTGGAGGGGGAAGGGGGAACGTTCCACAAAGCTAAAGATAACAATTTGGGCATTAGTCGGTTACTCTCTTCATGCAACCACCCATTAAGAATGGCTAAACATACATTACGATCATTTTATAAATACAGCAAAGCAAGAAAAAGTAAAGATATTTCTTTTGTTTGAAGTTGTGAGCTTATAAAGAGGTTATTTCACTGGTAAAACTATCATTAATTAATATTGAGCTTTTGTAGAGAAATAGAACATTATAATATGGCACAGTATAAAAATACTATTGAGTATAAATGCCCCTTTCAAACGTGGCTGCCTGATAGGAACTCTGCACATGTTGCTGAGGAATTCTATGCTTACTGTTTCTCACAGACATACCACAGCTTCTGACTCACTTCTATAAGAAGCCAAGTTATGATTGTTCAGCCTCACCGTGACAATAGCAGATTTTCATATATTCTGTAACCGGCAGTTCTGTCTTTAGGACTGCCTCAAATACAAGTGTCTATGTCTTGCAGAATTAACAGAACAGACAGATATGGACTATTTCTCTTACGCAACACAGGAACCCACAAGGCTTCAATGTGTAACAGCTGGGCAAATCCAATGAAAATAATTTTTTAAAAAGTAAATGTATCTGAAGAGAGAATATTATATTTCATTTGAAAGTTATAACCAGACCTTGCAAGACCCAAATGGATGCTTACTTGAATACATGGCAGACAGCCATGCACATCTTATGGTGCATTCATCTGCTAACAGAAGTACTGTGAATAAATTTTATTGTACAGTAATTCCTTGGTTATAAACATTCAGCTTCCACATTTATTGAAAGTTAAAAATCAATCAGGAGCCAATAGAATTAGCAATGCTTAATAGTCAACGTGTGCAGAAGTCCTTGAAGGACTTAGACATTAGTTATTAATAAAGCCAGCTGATACCAAGCAAACTTGTAGCAAGTATTTCTAACTAGCTACTTCACACTGAAAAACAATCACAAGAGAACTTATCTGAGTATAGTTATGTCTCAGCCTTTTACTGAGATGACAGATAAAATAAGAATTCTCAGCTTGGAAGAACTGTTTTATAGTTGAAAAAAAATGATAGGTTTGGCCAATGTTTCAAAACAAAAATTTTATTTAAAACTGACATTTGAACTCTACAGGGTTAACAAGATTTAGTCCAGAAAAGCATACTTCATAGGATCAGCAAAACAAACAAACAAACCTCCCCTCTACCTCCCCCCCAATAACTCATACTTGAAAGCACCTACTTCATACCTCAGGATAGGGCTCAGTGACAGGGCTCGTGATCCACCGTTAGATTTTATTCTCTCTCTCTCTGAGCCACTAACAATTAAGAAAACAGTTTTCTAGCCAGCTACATATTCATTTCAGCACCATTTAATCTCCAACCACATTTTCCTTAGCTTGCTTATAAACCTCATACAAGAACATGCCAAAAGCTAGGCTTTTGCGAGATGGCATGACAGATGCAACATGACAGATGGCACCAAGATGGATGATTCTCCCCTATTCACAAGGTCTGTTATCCTGTCAAAGAAGGAAATTAGGATGGCCTGATGTGATTTTTCATGACTAAATCAGCAGTAACCACTACTCATCACTTCAGTGTCTTCTAGATTCTTATAAACAGTTTGGTTATTCAGTTCTCAGAGAAATACCATAATTTAGGCAAAGAAGCCTGTAAGCAGATCCTCTCTACCGATAACTGAGAATTGCTACATTTGTTTTTTCCCAGTCCTTCTGAAACATCACACATTCTCTGTGGCCTCTCAAAAACAATTACTAACAACTCCCAGACTGCTTCACAGAGTGAAGTATCATGAGTGCTGAAAACCCTATTTACTGAGGTCATGTGAGGAGAACTACAGAGCCACTAACAGCCATAAACAAAACAACTTTTTTATGCAAAATAGCATGGAAATGAAAGTTATCAGAAGACCAAGACCTACAAGGTATTTCACAGTGCAGGGACTGAAGCACCGTCCATCAAACAAAAAAAAGCCTTCCAAGGAAACACAAGGGCAGTCACATGAACATCCCGTAGATCAAAGTCCCCTCCAATCACTGCAACTCAACAAAAAACACACTGGCTACATAGAAAGTGATAAAGCACTGCATGCTATTCATAACGAAGTAACTTATATTTTACTTTAGCTATTAGCATATTATTCTTCATTCACTAGAGTGAGGTACATATCAAATATTGACTGCCAATACTTGATTTGAACTAATGGTCGAACACGCCCCCCAAAAAGATGTTTGTTATTACAGATTCACTACCTATAGCTCCATAAGTAAAGTTGAGTCCAGGTTCTTCTTGAGTCCAAACACTAAATGCTGAAAAATTCACGTTGCAAAATTTTACCTTTGTTTACTTTCCAGAGGCTAGAAGATAAAGGCCACCATGCCTATCTAACTGTTATAACTTTACATAGTGTTCAAAAGCATGTACAAGACAGCACATGTTCCCGTATCTGTAAACATGGTGCGTGGGGAGAGTGTGTGTGTGTGTATAGGAGTAAAGTATGTATGAATGCATATACTCTTACATATTGTAATAATACACAATTTAAGTGAAAGGAAGGAAAAAGTTGTAGCTGTCATGGTTCATGCATACCAGAAGTGGGAATCTTGCAGAAGACATGGCTGTCTTGGTCAAAGGAAACAACAAAACAAAAACTGACATAATTGAGATGTCAAATTATATTTTTCCTCCTTACTCTAAAGGATGTTTAATTGATACCTGCCACAGACCTTGGTTTTATTCCTGGCAATGCATATGGAATACAATTGCTGATTGTGATTGTACATTGCTGACTTTTAAAAACATAATGAAGCTCTAGGTGGCAATACAAAAAGTTTCATAGCAACTAAAAGCTTTTAGAGCTGTAGCTGGCAAGTTAGCCCAAGTAATAACAATTAAAATAGAATAAAATAGCTGGAAGACTGTAAAATCTAGCCACCACCAAGGTTTCTCAGAAGGAAAAGTTGCATCTCACTAATCTCTGGACCATGTGTTAGGCAGTGATAAAGGAGTAGATAAAGAAGAAAAGATTTACTACTTTGATACGCAAAAGGCCTTCATTAAGGTCTCTGGGAGTCTATTAAAAAGCTAAATAATCATTGGGGGAGGAAAAAAAACCCAATCAAACACCAAGAACTGGTTGCTAATATCAAATAGGAGGGTTGAACAATCACTCATCATCATAACAAAAGATACGAAGCAGAACGCCCTCCAGTTCAGGCTAAGTTTTAAAAATTTTTGAAGAGTAAAGTATTAAAATCTTCAGATGACAAGCAAATGCTAAAACAATCCTCTCAATCATTTAAATAAAGGAACACAATAGGGATGTTCAGTCAAATTTTGATAAACAAGGCATAAAACTTACAACAAATTTTGTATGACCCTAACAAGCCACATCGATTCACCAACAGCGGTATACAACTCCTCCCTGCTCCAGATGTGTTATTTTATAAGAAAATTAATAAAATTTTATGACACAACCTGCAATATTCCTTGTGTACTCCAAAAATATAACATTTTCCTCAAAGGTGCATCATCTTTTAGAATACAGTGGAATTCTGGTAATCCAAGAAAAGAGGATAGAATTCATCAGAGTATAGATAAGCATTATAGGACTGACTAAGCAAAAGGAGAAATCTCATATAATGAAACATTAAAAAAAAAAAAAAAAAGGATTATTTCTATCATCATATGAATGCAATGTATCAAAATACATCAGATGATCAAACAATGCCTGCACAGCTGAACTGCTGTGCCCTACTGCTGCATGCATTCTTGTCCACTTAAGCTCTGAGATAAAGTATCTTTGTTTGAACTTCAAAATCTTGCAGAATTAGACCTGAAGGGAAGGCCAAAGGCAGTAGAAATAATCTTTAGCTTTCTCACTTCAGAGTTCTTCCACCTTTGCGTGAAACACCTGGCATCTGGATACTGCTGGAAGACTGAATATAGGACTAAATGGATTTTGGTATGGATAAACTATAGCAAATTCCTAGGCTTCTACCTCGCTTAACAGCCTACATCCAATTTTCAAAAATTACTTACAAGCAAATGTCTCTGGGGTGGGGAGAACAGAACGACAGTTCTATACAGTTAGAAACTTCTGACAGCTTTGCTACAAACTACCTCCCAAAAGCAGAGTGAAGATTTACTCTCTTAAATGGTCAATATTATTTCTTTACGTAAAAAACTTCTACACCAAGAGTTTGGAGGAAAGAATGATTTGTTGGTTTGTGGGGTTTTTTTTACTGGGGGGAGGGGCAGAACACCAATATCCTTTGAAATTCAGTATAAGGCAAAGCTCTGATGAATTTTTCCTTTTTCCACATATCTACTAGGTATACTGGTTCTGCAAAACAAATCAAGTCTCACAAATATTTCTATAATCCTTTTAAATAACACTCTTAAGATCCTTTTTGTGAATTCAGCTAAACAGTAAAAACAGGTATTTAAGAACTGAATCAAACTGTGTATCAATCCAAGCATTTTTATGTAAGAAAGAAGAGAATCCAATTCTTACCTCAGATGTCAGTTAAGAACGTGACCTTTTTTTTCAGTGATTTTTCAGAGCAGAATCACAACATAAATGTATTCACACTTTCTTTTCCATCTTTGCTTTTCTTCCTCCAAACTCTGTCTAGATTTGGGATTACTCTTCCCCCTTCTCCCTCCAACTTCATCTAGATTTTGTACATTATTTTTCTCATTCCATACCTTCTTCCAACAACTTAGAGGAACATGGGTAGCTTGTTTTTTCTAGTTAGTAGGTTTCATTCACCAAAGGAATAACCCTGTATTAGCATCACCTCAAGAGAGGACTTTTTTCATTTGGGTGTTGCCTTAAAGTGAATCCCGTATTTTCTCCACGGCAAAAAATTTTGGATGTTCCTAAGGTAGGAAGGATTAAATTTATTTATTTAAGATGGAAGGATTAATTTATTTATTTGTAGTGATATGTACATGTCCTGGGCTAATTTGTCATAGACATGGCTACTAGTTTGTTCTGTCACATCCCTGATAATATCAATATGCCTGCCGTCAGACAAAATACCCTTCTACTTGTTCGTCAGATCTATAGCAGAGTTGTGTATCAAGATACACTGTACTGGATTCAGACTGGGATTTTTGTCTGCCTTGCAGAACAGAACAAACGAGGAATGAGATTTAATTTATTTCCCTTCATCTACAAAGAAAAACTTACACACTGACCTTCTTATCACTCTTAAACATGCACATGAGAAATAAAGAGAACACTTTTCAAAATCTGAGCATTAGTGAATTGGGCAATTAATGTAATTCATGTAAGTATTAGCTGAATGTGTGAATTACAAGGATAATGAAAAAATAAACGTATAAATATTCACCTGACATTATCCACAAACAACAAACCAAAATTATGAACTCTTTCAAAACATGCCATAAAATATACTGCTAAATATATATATAGCCCAGGATTATAAGAATTATAATAAAATATATATATAAAAAGCTCAAATTACAAGAATTTGTAAATGCATGTCAGACTTTACAGTCTGCCATTATACCCACTGACCCATATATTCCTTCTTTTTTCAGGTCTTCACATTTAATTGCTATCAATAATGTTGTATCAAATCCTTAAATAGTGAAACAAAAGCAATATACTTGGACAATGCTTATAGAAATATACTCCTTTCTAAACTGTCTTCAATGTGAAAGTTTCACCTCAAATGGGCAAAATTTACTGCTCAGCAGTGGAACAGAAATAAGAACTCGGAACACATGCATTCTACCAACACATATTTACAAAAAAAAAAAGGCCAGCTGTATTGTACCTGTTGTCATGGTATCTGTGGGGATGATGCTGTAAAACATCTTGCAGGAAACGCTCCATCAAGCTACTGGTACCCATACGATTCCTACAGTAAGCGGTAAAATGTCTGTGCTGGGAGCTGAAAACATGCTGGTGAAAGATAAAACAGATGACTAGTTTAATACTACTGTTAACACACTGGACTGTTCCTAAAAATTATTTTCCAGGTTAAACATTACACTGTTGTCCAGGTTAAACATTACACTGTTGCTATGAAAATATTTAAATAAAAAGAAAAATCTTCAGCCTTTTCTACTTTAAGGCCTTGATTCAATGAGATTTTTAAGCATGCTTATGTATTGAAACATCTTTCCAAGTCGGAACCTAAATTAGCAGCTCTTACAGCTGCTCACAAATCTCTTGTAACTAGTACAAATACTCTCACAAATCTCACAGCTGCTCACAAGTCTGTTGTAACTAGTACAAATAATCTAAATGTATCTATAAATGACTATTAAAATATTCTTGAACTTCATATGAGTAAACATCCTATAATTCACTCAAATTAAGGAGAATTTTCATAAGCATAGAAGACTAAATAGACTTCTACTTTCTAATTAAGAAAGTCAAAGAGACAGGAGACTGACATAGTTAAAGAACAGAAAAGAAAACAGTTGATCAAATGTCTTCAGCCTTGACATCTAACACATTAACCCTAACACTGTACAATATATACAGATCTCAAGATTAAAGCCACAGAAGTAAACCTAACAGATGCAATGCACAGCAGTGTGCCACTTCAGAAAAGCAGACTGCAGCAGCAGACTGCCACTACACCAGTATCTTTTTAACAGGTAGCAGATAAGAGTATCATCTTCTCAGTGCACGCATTGTGCAATTCACAAATTGATTATTTTTCATTCAGTATTGGTTGTTCAGTGTAGAGACTGATATTTTAAAAGCTGATAAAGCCTTTTGGTACTCCTTGCTATCTGTTGCTGAATTATTCAGAAGCCTTCTCACCTGTTCCAGATTACTGTAGTGTACATGGCAACAGTTGCAGTATCCTTGTCTATTTTGCATAGTGGATACTCCAGGCCCAGGATGTTCTTGCCCTCTTGTGTGTAAACTGAAAGAAGCAGGTAATATTATCAAGACATGTTGGGTTGTGTAATTCATGTTTTTAACATGAAAATTCTAAGTATCTATCTTACTATAGAGCTGCAACAAACTTGCCAGATAAATGTTTCTATTTCAGAATTGTAATGGCAAGTAGGACTACATATTTTAAGGTATTCCCAAGCAAATTTCACTAAAGAAAATTTTTCTTAAATGCAGAACAAAGGATATCAGGTGGAATGCACAGCTAACACAAATGCTGATATCAGTTGGCTGAAATCTGAAGAGAACTGTCTCTCCAGAAAAAGGCAGAGTCATCTTTTCATTCTTCTGTTTTTTAGTATTTTGTAATTAAAAAAAAAATAAACCAAAGACAAAGAAATCTTGACACCCACACTTTAGTTTTGGGCACTACAATACACCTTCCCCACAGTTTTTAATAGTATGTGAGTACAAGATAGAAAGGACCTCCATCATACACTTGATCTGTACTGCATCCATTACACAAGATAACAGATAAGGTTGAAAAACTGATTCTTCCTGTTTTACTTTGTGTAAGCAGTAAGCTAGATGCCAGTTAGATCATCACCTAACTTACCTGCTATTTCTGTCCTGTCGTAGAGAGCCTTCAACACCATGTCTTTCAATTCCTATAGAAAAAAGAAAGAAAAAAAAAAAAAAGAATATCAAAGAGATCAAATAGATTTTTACCTGCAGTTAGTTACTTCTCTTACACTGCATTTGTCAAAATTACTATTTTAAAGGAAGACAAAAAGTTTAGTAAGTTCAAGAAAGCATGTAGAGAGCGATCCTTTGATCCTTTTGTCCTCAAAGTTCCTCTAAGAGCTTCGTAACTCTTTCATAACATAACTCTTTTGTGGTCCAGGTGAGTGGGAATTTTTCTACTAATTTGTCTGGGATCAAGACTAGGCAATCTACATTTATACTGCTACATCCGTGATCACTAAGATAAAATGTAGCATGACTTAAACAGCTTATTACAGGACAAGAAAATTACATCTACATGGAAACGCTGTGGATGATTCAGAAGTCACTTCTTCCATCTAAGTTCTGTAATGAAATCTAGGAAATCAAAGTATGCAATTGAAACTACAAGATGAACTAATGCTTCTACTGTTAATTATTACGTTAAAAAAAAAACCTGCAACAAAAACATCTACTTTAAACTTCTCACCTTGTGCTGAAGAAGCAGAACCTTCATCAGATGGTTTGATTCTGTCAAACATCTGTAAGTAAAAAATAAAACAACCGAGAATAAAAGAAACCAAAACAACCCCACAGTAAAGCCCATCCTCAAGTTCATCTTTCAGTCCAAGCTCCAAGCTGTTCAGAAGCACTATATTTTTTCAGCTATAGACCGAGACTTGACTTAAATGAAGCTGCATTGTAAAAATAAATTTCTGCTTTACTAGGTTACCCTAATATTATATTTAACAATGCACGTTAGCTTTGACAGAAGGGGCTAATTCTGATCTAATTAATGAAGTAAAATACTATACTTAGGAATACAGCTTAGACTCTGTAAGGTTATTAAGCAATAACCTTGTCAAATCCATTTAACTACTTAATTTTCTAAGTTGCCTTTACAATAAAGATAAAAGATGTATGCTAATAAAAACCACACAAGATCTAGACCACACAAAATAATTACCTAGGCTAGAAAAGTAATCCTTATTGCCTAAAAGACCTGCAAACCAATGTTGAATCCCACAACTTTTAATTAAAATATGACTGCAGCAACATGCAGTTACATGCTTTAGGGTGCCCAAACACAAAAGGCTTCCGAGTTTCACACAGTCGTTTTACATTATGAAATGCAAGCATAAAATCAGCTTTCTAGTACAAACCTTAGAGTCATCAACCTTCTTCATCCACCAAAGCTGACTCCAGACTAGCAAACAATAAATGTCAAACAGGAGGCCATTTGCAGTGCAGGACACTTATCTTTTCTCATCCCATCTGGCAACAATGAAGTTAAAGAGCCTTTTAAAATAGAGTTAATAATGCATGTTTTCCATGCCCTAAGGCATGTAAATTTTTCTGTACCACTTTGCAAACACGTCAGCCAATAAAATGAATAAATCTCTTTTTGAAGTCTGCAGTACATCCTTCTTTTTTATTATGGAAGTTGTTTTGACAGTCTTTCCTACATAAATGTTAACCCTTTCTTCTGGAATAACTTTGCTCCTTCTTTCTTCCTCATAGTCCCTATGTATTAAATATTGTTGTCATTTTGGGTGCTAGCACTCATGAAACTAAGTATCCTTCTACAATAACAGAAAACAAATTCCTCAATATTAACCAAATTGGAATGAATCTATTTTGAACATCATTCATGAACCTGCTCAGCAAAACAATGTTCTATGTTACATAAAATAGTTATATATTGCAATAATACATTAACTGGAAATTTCACAGTAGGTTGGATGTTCAAAGCATTTTATAAATGAATCATCATATACTCAATGAAGTATTATCATTAGCATTACAGAAGGAAAACAGAAATGCCACAATAATTTTGCACAATCACTGTCACCAGTGCCACAGTGAAAGCACCACATCCTGTCTCAATACTCAGGACTTGGCACTTCTTAGATCTGCTCTTGACTTACCATTTGTGCAATTGTGTGATGACAAACTTAAAGTTTCAAATCAACCACTTTTACTTTTTATCCTTTATAAACTGTTTTTACAAGACCCATTCCTTTCCTTCTCCTTTCCTGTTCTCATACATGTAGAAAAGATGCTCCTATATGAGGCTACATACTATCAGGCTTGACAGATGTGTGGTTTGTTGTTTGTATTCTTTAAACCTGTTTTGCTCTTTCCCCAACTATGCACTGCTCATTATAAAATAGCAGGGCTGTTATAGCAGTTACGGTCAGAAGGAATATCTTAATATCACAACTCAAAAAAAACCAAACAAAAAAGCAAAACCAAAAACAACAAACCACCCAACCAAAACACCCGACTCATTCTCCTTCCCATAGTGTATCAATTCATGTAATAATATTAAAAAAAAAAAAAAAACCAAGAGGCTACTGCCTCAGCAGGGTGATCAGCCAGCCGGCTGGGCACACCACAACCCCGCACCCCGCCCCTGGGGGGGTTACAGCCCCCCGACACCCCACCACCCAGTTTCACCGCAGAGACGCCGGGCAGCAGCGAGTGCAGTGTGCTGGAGGGGAGCTACCGCAGCGGTCCATTACTTCCCCATTTCCAGGAATAATTTCCGTGGTGGTGCGCTACTGAGCATTCACTCGTCTGCAGGTACAGTTCTGTAAGTTACACCCTTAGGTCAAGACACAGACTCACGCACATTGAAACCGAGCTAGGAGCGTAGTAACTTCAAACAGCACAGGACTATGAAATAACTGTACTGAATTACTCCAGTCTGGATCTCCTCGTCATCTGTCTACAGTTCAAGGAGATTCGATGGACCAGATTTTCTCACCAGAGGAGGGGGGTGTTAGGTAAAACTTGTAGAAGCCTGGCTATCGCTTAGTAACTGACAGAAAAACATCAGAGGAGGATCTTTCAGAGATACTTATATACAAATCCGACAAGAAAGGAAAACCTGTTTTCTTTATCCCAGTGTTTATAAGAACACTAGTGTACAGGACAAAGAGAAAAATCTGAACTCAAGCTATCTACAACTTGCTTACCATCTGAAGTCAAGCTCAAACCACAGGCTGGTAACGTAAAGGAAATCTGCTGTGTAGATGCCTTATTTATGTGGCCAAAATCTGGACAGCCTAACTGCAATCCTTACTTTATCAAAACAGAAACTACAGCTATAAATCCACAAAGGATTTTTCAGATGCCCATGCAAAGCCTGCGAAATTCTAGCTTGGTTAAGATACTTCCAACTGTAAATACCTTAAACTGTTGGATTAAAAAAGTAAATTATATCTGTACAAGCTTTAGCTTAAACATTTTACCACTGAAAAATCCTATAAATTGTAACAAGTGTAAAAACAACCGGCTGCATACAGAAATGTTTGATTTGGTAAATTTCTAGCCAGGCTACTTTAGCTGTGTCTAACACCAATGTTTCTTTTTGATTTTATCGCATTAGTCTGTGTACAGCAGCCAGAGGAGGAAAAGCCTCAGACAATCCTATTTAACAAAAGAAATCCATAAAGAGGCAACCAAAAGGCATAAAATGTACACATTAAAAAAAAAAATCAGTGGTGCACTCTGATAGTATATAAAAGTGTCAAAGGCATCAAAGAAACTCTCCAGACAGAGTCACTCTTGCAACAGTTAAAATAAAAAGGGGCAAAAAGGCCATTCAAAACTGCTCCTCCAAAAAGACCTCACGAAAACCCCGACATCCCTCCACCCGAGAAGGTCTGTGCTGGGCAGAGAGAAAACAAGGGGAAAAAAACTCTCCCTTAAAGAAAGTTAGCTGTCTTCCAACAGCATTAGCACAAACAGGGAGGCGGTAACTCATTTCAGGAACTGCTTTTGCCCCACCACACCGCTCAGGGTCCCGTCCTGCTGCGCCACGACCACGCCGAGCGGCGTGTCCGCGGTCGTGCCGGCGGTCC